CAGCCCACGCCGGCCCCGGGCTGCGCCGCGGCGGGGCTCAGAGCCGGGGCGCGGGCTGGGGTGCTCCGCGTCTCCAGGCGGAGCAGGAGGAGCCCGGGAGGCTCCGTGGGTACTTTGGGGACACCACACAGTAGACGTAGGGGGACCCCCTTGGGCACCGCCGGATGCAGGCGTGCCACCCGCTGGGCTGCAGGGCCAGATGAGGAGCTCAGAGTCAGGCAGGACCGTCTCTTCCCTTCCGCATCTCCAAAGACTCAGAGCTGGGAGAAACCGCCTCCTCATAAAGTTCACTCAAAGGAGCTATTTTTTTTTTTTTTCTTTTTTAACTTCTAAAGATCGACAGTGCATAAAATATCACCATGACAGGACTCGAAGGATCCGAGGTGTTAAAAACTGAGTACATATTTCTTAGGCGTTTGGACTTCACTTGCTTCACTTGGGTGCTTTAAGTGGCGTGTTTCTCCTCGGGTGAAAGTCGGTTTCAACTAATTTTGTGCTAAAAGGAGAAACAGTCTTCCTTCTCTAAACTACAAAGTGATTAAAATTAGACTTTTAGCGAGGTACAATCACGAATCTGTGAGCTTCTGAAGATGAGCTAATTTCTTCCAAAATATTTTTCCCTAAATGATTCTTGCATCTTTTCGGAAATGAGTATGTTTTCGAAACACACTATTATCAGAAGTGAAAAAAAGCAGTCATGTAAAAATTTAAAACTGAAATATGTGCCCCTAAAATCTCACTCCTTTTTCTGTAAGGTCTTTATTTTTACTTAGTATCATAACTACACAGACAGATACGTGATTTCTTTTTGTAACACATTTATTCCAGAAGTATTTTGGTAGTATGTCTCATGCACTCTTTATGAATAGAAAAGCAGTAATTCTTTTGCAATAGAGAAACTAGTCAGGTGAAAGAGTAGTCAAAATACAGTTTCACAACGAGGCAAACAATATATTCCCTAAAGGAGAGAGAAGATAATGACCCTCACATGCATCGTTATTCATATGTTATCATCAATTTAAATTCGTTGAGAGAGCAGATTTATATATAGCCCTGCGTGCAGGGAAAATTAACATCAACATCTTCTGTGAATCTCAGTCCGCTGCTAATGACCACATTGGAGTTATTTCATGTTTTCTGATTTCCCTTCTAAAAAGTATTCCTATGTGACATACAGGCCTTTCCACCCTGGAGTTATTCAACACTGTCCACCACAGACTTCCCCTCTAGAAAATGTTCCTATATTTACTGTAGACCTTTTATTTTCTTTTTTTAAGCCATAAATTAACACTCTGACTTGTATGGACCTGTGCATGGCCCCGCAAGAAGCGTGTTTATTCAGAAAAATCATAAGGATTGGAGCGAAACATTCCTTAGTTGTGACTCACTCAAAATATTAGGTCGAATAAATTTGGAAATATGTTTCCGAATCGGCAGATTGTATTTAAAGGGTTAATACCACCTAAAACTTCTAAAGCTGGTATCTGACTGATAAAATCTGCTGCTATAGCATTTTAGCAAAGTTAAATAGTACAATTTATCACAAGGATTAGGCCCCTAATCTCCTGCTGCTCCCCAAGATTTAAATGACATTTTAAAAGGGGAAGTGATCTCCGTCACAGTGGCCCTCAAGTGTAAGGCAATCGTCAAGAGTGTAAATTTACTCACATGAAATAATCATTGATTAAATTGGTTCAAAAAAAATTAAATTACATGCTTTTGCAAGCACAAAACCCTTGAGAGCGGCTGGTGTTTTTCCACCTGTAATAATACAAAATCTGACCATTAAGTGTACCCAAAATTATATGTTATATGAAAAATTAAAGCCAAAGGTCTAAGGGTGAATTACGTCCTTTAATTGAAAGGATAAAGTTACACTTCAGGTATTGAAGCCAACAAATTCATGCTCACTTAAAAATTTAATGAATGAAGTTTCACGGACTCAATTTTGCTGAAGTTTGCCTGAGAAAGGAAGGATGTCTTCATGTTACGTTTCGCATTTTAAGTCAGGATGGAGCAGATCAAGATGCTGTCTGTATCAACCCATTTCCATTAACCACAAAAGATCTGTAGAGAACTTAATAAAAGCACAAATATTTTTGTAAACTTTTTCAAGCAAATTACTTATTTATTTATGAAATAATTTATGAAGAAAATTTTTACCTCATGCTTTAGATATATTACATATGCTCCTGATTGACACAATATGTTCAAGCTCAAAGGCCCCCACAGCATTTTTTAACTCTAGTAGGAATATTTCAAAACAAGCAACTAACACATGAGGTCATAATTGTTTGACAGTTGTTTTTAATATATAAAATAAGTTATGTATATTGTTTTCCTTCAAATGTTTGTTGATTTGTTTTTCTAGTCCTGACATTTGCATGGCACAAACTGAATTAGGGGAAATATTAAAGATTTATTTACATTTATTATCTTCTGCTGTCAGACATATGCACAACTCTTAGAACCTTTCTCTTCTTTTGCTCTTTTAAAAACAACGCAGTACTGAACAATAGAGCCTGGGTGTTAAAATGAAAACCTTTTAAAAGATGCATCGCAAAATAAAAAGCTTAGCAGAGATTTTTTTTTAAAAAGCAAGCAAAAGAAGGAAATTTCAACTAAAATAACTTCTTTGCAATCTTTCATAATGTGCAAATTCTGGGGCATTCTGTCATGAGTGGACCATTGATGAAACAGATCCTCCAGCTGTCTGAGTGCTTATTCTTTATCAACACGACATAATCTACTCTTTCTGCTTTATCATTTAAGCATTCTTTCTTCCCCCTTTTCTTGTAGTTTATTCAGCAGAGATGCGGAGAGGGATTAGCCATTAAGTACAATCAGGCTTGTTTTACATTTTTTACCTCTTACCACAGATCTGACTTACGGTTCCGATGCCTGTGATCACAATGACTTTACCTGATACGACGTGTACTTCAGAAATGTAATCCAACTGTTTACCCTAACAAGTCATAAATTGCAATTCCTTTTAGAAACCTCAAAGATTGACAACCCTTGATCCTAGGTACCGACCGCTCTAACACACCCTACCAAGAAAGTATTTCCGTATTATTTGCTCTCCAGACAGTTCTGCATCATAAGAAATAGAAGATCCCTTTGCTTTTCAGTACATCAAAAGCAATTATCAAAGTACTCGGCCCTCGTCGTGGCGGGAGCTGAAGGAACAGAAATATTATTATGGATGAGCTTCACTGAGTCTGTTTCTCCCTCCAATCACAGAGTACTCAACCTTTAAGAAAATACTCTTCTGCACAAATTATGATCATTTTCCAAACTACCTATTGCTAAACACCTCTGGGTGAATTTATTAAAGATAAATTCAGCTTTAAATAGCCTGTATCTGGTATTCAAATTCACACTTACACTTGCCAATCCTCACTCTGCAATATCAGGCAAATGCCTAGTTAAACAGATGGGCCATGCAGCCCACCCTAAAAGCCAACAAACATGGGCTTTATTTAATTAAAAAGGAAACAAATTTCTGAGGTGTAGACACACAGGCACACACACACACACACACACACACACACACACACACAATTCTTGGTGGGAGTGCTCCATGATGAAATTCTTGTGTTTTCATTAGGTCTCACGAATGCCCAACTACACACTAGGCATTAGATTGAAAGTAGAAGTAAATGAGATCCCTCGGTGCTATGCACTCAAATTAAGCCACTAAGGGCAACGGCAGAACTGACTTCCTTCCCTCAAATAACAAGAAGAGAAAAATTATATCCAAAACAATCCAGATCCAATTCGGTCCTCTTTCTGACCTTGGGAAGATATTTTCCAATTTTTGTTCTATTTCTTCCCTCTGCGACATGATCTTCTGTTCTCCTCACCCATCCCATATACTACTTACTTTACACTGCATGCAGTTAACTTTCAGTTGTATGTAACCAGGCTTAG